ATTACCATTTCCAAAAATTGCTGGCTTTGGAGTTACAGGAGTCATCCATTCTATTGGATTAAATCTGTCGTAATTAGTTACTGAATGCTGAGATATCCCTGATCATGCTGGACAAAATATGACTCTGATGCGCAAATTTGTAACTAGTAAAAGGACAGACAGGATTAAGAAAAATTAATGGCTTTAACTGGCAGCTACCCAACTAGCTGTACAATCCTGTAAAATAAATTGCCTCTGGTGGGCAGATGCAACTCTAATTCAGGGATACATAGGACCATCAAACATAAAACCTCAGAGCTGTGATGCAGCGTATCACTATCTTCCTACAAATGCCTGCCTGGGTTTAAAGAAAAACAGGAGAAAATAAGGGTAGGGTGGGAAGGTAAATCTGCGAGTTTTCTTGAAGGGGATTGATGGATCAGTCAGAACTGCTGGCTGGTCTTCACTGATGCAATGCTAATAAAGTATTACAAGTAACATACATGGGTCAAGTAAACGGAGCAATGCTTTGTAACTTGTGTATCCCTCTATGTCAAAAAGCTTTCACCACTGTTTGTACATACTACAGATGCTGTAGGGGTTTTGTCTGCTTGGTGTTTTTTTCCTATCATATTAATCTTTGATTTGAGGTCTACTAGACCATGTTTTCTGGGCTGGTTACTTTCTATAATAATTTGCATTAACTGCTGTTCATTATGCTTTATATCATCAGTTGTATTGTTGTATATGCAAGTTCTCTCTTAAGAAATAAGAATAGACTTGGATTTTGATTGTAACACAGCATGCAGTGTTCCGGCCCACGGGCATGGGCAGAATATTCTGTTTCATACTCAAGTTTATAATTACCTGCACAAAAGGCAGCTGTGCTCACTCTCCCTCCTTTTTCATGTCATGTTCACACACCACCAAGCATGGAAGGAAATTCTATCACAGCTGTGCCTCTCAAAACTAACAGGCTGTAGAAAAAGGTTCCATATATGCAGAAGCTGTTTTTTTGCTGTCCCATTTAAAAATAAAATCAAGTCAACACATCAGATGACTTACTCATTTCAATTTCTTAGGTCACTGAATGAAAGAACAGTCAAACTGAGGTTCTCTAGGTGCTCCAGAACCTGTCTGGCTCTCAGAAACAAGTATTTTCTTAGAGGAAAAGCAGTGCACTTCTAAAAGACCAAAAATATCCTCACAGGGACTATGCCTAGCACAGTAGCACGTTATTAATGCTGGCATTTTCACACACTCATTGCAAAGGAAGCCTATCAGCCACATGCTGTTAGTACTGCTAAAGCAGCAAAACCTGACAGAAATATCTGACATGAGATTAAAGGATTGACCATTAGCAGTATTTTCCTGTCATAAAACAATCCACATTATTATTAAAATTGCTGACTTGGTATGATTAGTTTCTTTCTGTTCTAAAAAGGAAGTGAGCAGTGCCCAAGGACAAAAACTGCTTAGCACCTGCTTTGTTTGTAACCAGTCTTTGATCAGGGAATAACTCTTTTAAGGTCCTGTTTGGGCCTAACAAGGCAAATGGTTTTTTAAGAGTTACTACCAGACAGTATCAATATAGACACTCTTAGGAAACTGTGCTAAAACAAGCTGTCATTGGAAGTCAAATAAAACATCCTACCAATCTACATTTTTTTCAGCTTTATGGAATCCAGCTACCAACATAAAACACAAAGAAAAAATGCAAAGATACCCTTAACTGTAGATTAATCTCATTTTAAAAGACAAAAAATGAAAAAGAAAGAGAAATTCCAGTGGAAGGTGTATCCTTGCAAGGGTCTCTGGAGAATAATGAAGAGGATAAGAAAGTAATATATATGGTGAATAAATATATTCACCATATTTATTTTAAGTTGGTACCAAAGGATACCTAAGTAAAGGAACTTGACTACACATAAGAGAGAAGGTAAACTTTACAATATATATTTGAAGAAAGAAACTATTGGTCAGAAGAAACTGTAAGAACAATTTCCTGTTTTGGTTTTACTGGCAGCTGAGCTCACAATCAACTGTGTTGGACATTGTCAAACACAGCATGGAAACAACTTCAGTGCTATGATGTAGGGATGCTGGCATTCTGTGAATTATTTCTGAGGAGTATGTAAAAGGTAACTAAAAAAGCAAGCCTTTTTCTGGAACATCTATATTTGCTATACTGAGTTATATTAAGATTAAAGATATGAAGATTGAAAATTAACAAAAAACTACTGATTCTCTTCTCTCCTAATTTACCAGAAATTAGCTATCATGTCTTTAAGAGGAGCTGGGGATAGGCTGGTAATTCCAACTAGCTTAATACTAATATTTAAATAAAAAACATTATATGCCTTTTAAGAAATCTTATATGCTTCATGTAGGTTGACCATATTTTTGTTCACTGTGATAACTTGTGATTTACCATGCATCATGTATCCAACAGATCTTAGTACTGCTACATAAAAATGGGAAAGGATTCTTATTGTGGACTGTGTGTGTCCCTTGGAACTGGGCAAAGAGCCGGAGTCTTCAGCTCAAAATGTCCTGTCTTGTTGACTAGTGAAGCATGGCCAGAATGTGTGGTCTAGGTGTCAAAATAGCTCTATTTACTGGCACTGGTAACCAACAACCTGGGAACTGTCCAGTCCATGAAAGACATCCTGGATTTCCCCACAGTCGTGAATATTCCTGTGTCACAAGACCAAGACCAAGAGACAAACGTGTGCTACTGGTTGGAAAATAAAACTAAGAGTTCTTTGAAAACAGTTTGCCTTGTGGTATCCTTTCAGAAGTGGCGAAATAATGGGCTGACTCCAAATAAAGTCAAAGATGAAGAGAGGGAGTTGCTGTACTAGAAAAAGTTAAAATAAAGGGATGCACTTGGTATTGGGGGATTAAAAAACATAGTGAGAAAGACCGTTACAGAATTGAGAAGGGGAAGGTGGCAGTCTTTTATTTGAGCACATCTATTTCTTGGTAGAAACATTTATGGCACCTTTTTTACAGATGGTGGCAGCTGTGAAGAAAAGCAAAGCCTCTATCTGCTAGACTTCCACAAAGGTCTGTTTTTCCTAAGTGCTCTTCTTCAGTCAAGTGCCCATCTCTACATTCCAAGGAGTGCTCTCTACTCATCAACACCATGACATAATACAGTTCTGCACTCAGATGGTTGCACTCAAAGCCTCTTTACATCCTTCTGGAAATCACTGACTCAGGAAGAGATTTACACATGCACAAAATTAAGCATCAGCACTAAACTTCTCTGCAGTCCTGCTCCTGTTGGTTTTTTCAGTCCCAATGTTTGTCTGCAGGCTCCATGCTCCTTCCCCTTCCAAAAGTGCTGACATTTAGTCCACTGGTTGTCCTCCCACAACTTACATGTCTTCTTGTCCTTGACAAATGCACACATTTTTTTGCAAAATGAGAAGGTTTAGCTTGGTTCTAAACAGTAGCAGTTTCTAATTTCTATATCTCGAAGGTGGGCTAAAGATTGAGGCTGGTAGTGTAGAACCCTACCTTTGAGACACTACAGCTTTTTTGGGAACTTCTTGATTGATTGTTGTTTCCATGGTCCTAGAATCTTAATTGTGTCAAGAATTGTATCCTACTCTTTTTAAAAGGATCAGCGGCTCAGTCTCCACAAAGGCTGAGCAGAATCCATGACAGCTGCATTCCTCTCCCTCAGTCATGTGGAAAGCCCAATTCAACACAATGGCACAGCTAACACAGGCTGCCAGAAGGGATTCTGGGCTCCAAGTGTAGATGTGGCTATATATTTCCAAAGGCTCTCATTGATTTTTCCTAAGTGAATTGGTTACAGAAACCTGAAAGACCCAACCCACCTCCCAGGAGAACTCTCTAAGACAGGGACTTTGGAAGTGGTGAGCAGTGATGGTTGTCCTTGACACTGGTTCACTCCAAGAGTACACATTCCACAGGCCAGTAAGAGAGGAAGACGCACACAGGAAAGGGTGTTTAGTGGAACCTTCATGAGGGAAAGAAGAGAGTGAGGAGCTCTGTTACCTACTGTGCTCACAGATTAACTAACAGAGGCCACCCTGGGGTATTGATGCAATACTTACCTGTGCGCAGGACTTAGCCCACCCTCCTAAAAAACTGACATACACAAGCACTCCTTAGTATTGAAGAAGAAAAATCCTGCTCCTAATGCAGACTCTGAAACTCCCTACTCCTCTGCTCACACAGCATTTTCAGAGTCTGAGCTCTCCTTCCCTGTTGCTTCCCCATAGTGGTAAATTCCCATTCTTCTGTTTCTGGGACACTAGATGCAACAATGATGTGGACTGTAAATGTGCTCAGCTCAGCAAGAGTCTGAGCCAGGCAGAACTTTTAAGAGCTATTACAATTTTTCATGGGGTTTTTATGGTTTGTCTTTCTTCATAGACCAATTGCTCCTGCTCTAGGCATCTGGCTATTCCCACTGGGCATCTTGGTATCAATCTGTTCAAGCTGAGTTAAAAGGGACTTGAAAGGCAATGAATTCCAATTGCTCTCCTAAAGTCTGACATATATTTCCCTGAAACTAAAAATGCTGTTTTGTATATAAAACCTTTTGGAACAGGGTATTAACTGGTACTACCCAAATCCAGCCTGTTTTAATTCTCACTACCTGTCAATCAAGGCAGTGCACAGGTGGCTTCAGGAGGCAAAAAGTAACTTCTAAAACGGGCAGAAGGATTAGTGGCAGCTTTCATTAGGACCTCTCAGTAAGTTAGGCTCGTATTAACCTTTGTTGGATTTTTTTGCTGTATCTCTTATATAAAAGGACTAAACAGTAAGCTACCTTTCTAATCCCTCAGCTTCTCAGTAGAAACTGTGTTTTTCTTCATCTCTTAAAATTCCAGAAATTGTTCCATCTGTTGGAACTTAGTTGAATTCCACAGAAGCAAAGATATGCCCAGCCTGCAATTCAGCTAACATCAAAGTGAGCATCTGTTGGACTCGTTAATGTGTCCCATTTTCCTAGACTTGGACTTGAGGTGTTTGCTTACCTAAGAGCAACTAATTCCAGTAACCAGTGAATCCGAACTTGTTCAATGCCGCCATGTGGAACTGAAGAAATGTAGGCAAGATTTAGCTCTTGGTCTTTGCTCAGGTCAAACAGGTCAGCACGGTTGTGAGGTAAAGGAGGGCTTTAGGAAAAGATGGAAAGAAAAGAAATACAGTGAAATATTAAACAACAGCTCCACTGGGCATTGCAAAAGTTCCTATGGTACATCCCTATACCACGTGCACATTCCTACAGGGATTGAGGAGCACTGTCTAACATGAGATTAAAGCAAAATAGAGTTGCGGGTTATTTGGGGCCAACTGGCTGTATGCTGTTTGGCAAAGTAGAAATACAAAGTAGAATGCAAGGGTGCATCTCAGTACCATGCTCAAAGGAAAACCTTGCCAGCAGTCACTGCTGCACAGACAGCAATCTCAGGCAACAATGGCCAGAGGAAACCACACAGTGACAGCTGCCTTGTCTCTGAGTTACTAATCATAAAGGAGCTCACTATCTTTAAGGCTTTACAGTGGAAGTCAGACATGCTGATGTCTGCAGTTAGAAAAATATGGTCTTAACCTTCTTGATGAAGTTCATGCAATTACATCGCTTCTTTCTCTGCTGTGGATGCTACTAAACTTTCTTGAAGCAGAATTAGATACTTAGAGCCTTCATATTCTTCAGCCATGTTCAGCTAACCCTTAAGCATTAGAAAGCACAGGGGCGTGCAGTTTGAGGTTTCTATGTTTGATTCTGCAAGCAGTTTAACAGGCTCTACAGCAACAATCATATCAACTTGACTTTGATGTCTACTTATTCCACTGAAATTAACATTACACTGTGGCAAATTTCTGTTGTTCCTATCTCCACAGATAAATACTGCAAGATGGAGATCTCAATTCCACTCTTCTCAAGTTAGGAACTTTCAATGCTGCACGGCTCACTGGGTCTGGGCATCCTTAGGGACTTTAATTAAACGTCCATGTATTGTGCACATTCTGAATAATAAAGCATTTTTATGACAAGAAGAATAAAACAACACTGGTAAAAGCTTGGTAAAATAGATCCATGTGTCTTCACACTGCAGCAAGATATGACCTGTGCTTTGACTACACACTATATACAAACTGTTTAAGTCAAAAACTCTTGTAGTCTCTACCTTGCCTGTTGTAGTCTGTCTCCTATGATATCGACCAGACTTGTGCTGACTGTAACTCTGCTGGGAAAAGTAATTTATGTCATCCTTGCTTACTCTGTACCCATCCATATAATCATCCCACCACCAAGGGCACTACTGAATGAATCTCCTACTGTACAGCCATCTGCATACAAAGGCAGAAACACCTGACCCCACCTGGACAAGAACTTGACACCACAGAGATATTGTTGATCTATTATCCCATCTCCTGCATCCTTACCTGAAAGTTCAAGTCTTTACACAAACCACATCCATTTATAATGCTTATTACAAATCTGCCCCCTCTGCAGTTTCACCAGCATATAAGGCACTTAAAAACTATCTCCATAAGATAGCTTCAAGTCACACAAGTGATACTGATAACTTACCAGCTCTACTCTTACAAAAAATGTTATGAGCATTTGGGTCTTTTTTTATTATTCCAGTGAATAAGGACAATATTAACAATCAGATTCTGATGGAGTGCTTTACTGCTACTCTGAAATTCAAACTGGCTTCCATTCAATACTAGCAAAGACAATTATTTTTGCTTAGTCCATGTTGAATTAACATTCTGAAATTCACACCCTGTTACACAGAAATCTTGCAGAAACTGTGATGCGATACAAATGAAAACTGACAGAATGGTGGGTTCTGTTAGTGGTGCTATCAGTATCTGTCCTTTCCTGTTCTGAGTGCAAAGTGCCCATCCAAAAGAACTTCAAGCCTTGCTCCCAGGTTTTCTCTGCTGCTGATCCACAGCTGGGCACTTGCCCAGAAAAGAAGCTTTAGCAGCTGGAACTCAGTTGTGCCACTGCATGACCTTTCAAGGGATTTTCAGAAATACTAGTTTTGGCCAAGTGTTATAAAATAGTAACTGCTGACCCATGGATAGCCTCTGCCTCTGCTACCACTACTCTGTCTTCCTTCATGCATCTTTCACGTTTGCAGCTTTCCAAAGCTTTTCACACAATTAAAACCATGAGTGTTTCGTAGGCTGCAGCTTAAATGGGTTAAACATACTATTTTTAAGGCAGATTTTCATTAATGATTCCCAATATTGCAAGAAAAATTTAAAACAAAACAAAAAAACAAACTCACAAAAAAAGAAACAATGAAAGAATAAAAAATCCTGAAAGCCCTAACGTTTCTCTTCATCAGAATGTATTTTAGGTCCTGTTCTGTTCCTCTCCCCTTGGAAACCTAAAGAAAAATCTTGTAAGTTTTTTCTTAGGGGGCCTTTATGCGTTATAAAGAAAAGTGCACAAAGTCCTTTTTCCAAAGCACGTGCTCATTCCATGCCTATTGGAACGCTTTTCCACGTAAGTGTTACTTAACCCACTGTGTGCCTAAAGGAAGCAGATCATAATCACTTTAGCGTAAAATACAAGCATGGCAGTGCGATATACCATCTCTTGCTTTCATGCCTGCTAGAAGCTTTTAGTAATCTCACAAAACTTAAAGGCCGTTCCAATCCCAGTTAACTGAGCAAGACCAGGCTTTCTCCGAGAAGGAAAGCACAAGCAGAATACAGGAATTTCTGCATGGTCACCACCTCCCCCCTAACTTGGGTCAACTTGACCCACTGGCTGCATCTGGTGGTGCATCTGGAAAACGTCTGTCAAGAAGAACAAACTCCTAGAACTATCAGTCTTTTGTTTGGTAGTACTAGAACTCTCAGAAGTTTTTCCTGGGGCCCTTTAGGGGCCATGGCAATGGAAACACTGAAAAGTAAAGGGAAATGAGTTCTGAGTATCAACATATGTACTGTGCTGCGGAAGAAGAGGGACTTTACATGTTCAAGGGAGCAAGTCAGGAAAGCGGAGACGAGGCCTATTTTTCGGGCAGTTCACATTAACTGGCCACATCCCACATCCCGCCCTACCTACACTGTGGTCCCGCTCCAGCACCAACAAGGGGCAGCAAGAGCCCTCTGATCCCACAGGAGAGACTCGGTTCCCCGGGAACGCAGCCCCGCACGCCCTGGCGATGAGGGCGGGACGCGGCCGCGGCGAGGGCCGCAGAGCCCCTGCCCCGGGGGCCGCAGCCGGGCGGTGTGCGCTTACCAGAACCCAGTGCTCCTCCAAAAGTGCCGCAGGGGCCGCTCGGCTCGCCGGGCATCCACGTACACCTCGTACGCCGCGCAGCCCAGCGGCACCAGCAGCAGCCACAGCAGCGGCCCCATGGCGCCGCCGGGGCCGCGGGGAGCGGGGCCCCACCGCCGCCCGCTGCCGGGGCACGCCCAGAGGGGCCCCGAGGCTCCCGCCCCCCGCAGCCCCGCGGCCGGGGGGAGCCTCCTGCCCGCTCCGCTGCTGCCGAGCGGCTGCGCTGTGGGCGCTGTGCCGGTGCCCGGGGCTGTCCCGCCGGCGGGGCCGCGGGGCGGGCGGCGCGGCTGCGGCTCGCCCGTGCCCCACACGGGGGCGGTGCGCGCCGCCACGCCCGCGCTGCCCGCGCCAGGCCCGGGAAGGCCGCGCTGACGGGAGCGGAACCGCCCTCATTGCCCCGGAAAAGCGTAGGGGCAGGGTGGGAGCTGTGTCCGCTGGCTACGTGTAAACCAGTTTATTGATCGCGGTGTGCCGGAGAGCAGAGCGCGGTCTCGGCCCGGAAAGCTGTCCTGGGCTGGCTCCAAATCAGCGTGGGCAGCAGAGCCAGAGCGGGGATCCAGCCCCTCTGCTCCCCTCCCGGAGCTCTGCATCCGCTCTGGGATCCGCCACAGGAAGGACGTGGATTTGTTGGAGCAAGTCCAGGAAAGGGCCGTGAAGTTTACAAGCTTCCCCCTGCAAAGACAGGCTAAGAAAGTTGTGGCTGTTCAGTCCTAGAGAATAACGGATGCAAATTTAAACAGGAGAAGTGTAGGTTAGTTGTTGGGAAGAAGTTCTTTACTGCGGAGGTGGTGAGATGCTGGAACAGGTTGCCCATGGAGGTTGTGGATGCCTCCTGGCACTGTTCAAAGCCAGGCTGGACAAGGTCTCGAGCAACCCAGTCTAGTGGGATGTGTCCCTGCCTATGGCAGGGGGATGTTTGGACTACATGACCCTGAAAGTCCCTCCCAACCCTTAACATTCTGTGATTCTGTGATTCTATGAAGAGTTTTAAATGTGCTTTATCACACACAGCCTGCAGCTTGAATCTCTAAATGCTTGTTTATTACCTAGTACCTGCATATGGTATGACTTGTCTTCAGGATCATAGGAATCTTGTCAAGCCTTCCAGGCAGGGAATCTGGTTCTGTGCCGCTAGCTGCACCCTGAGTTGGGACACAGCTCCCTTTGGGTGGGTGCTGCTGTCTGGGCTTCAGTGAAAGCATTTGCCAATTGGAAAGGGTGATCTGTGAGAGGAGGACCTTGCACCCACTTGACAACCAAACCCCATACTGTGATTTTTTGCTTATTAACACCAACCCTACATTTCTATGTCTGTAAGTGGGGAAGATTCATTGTGGGGCCAGCACAAGATGCCAACTGTTTGAACACCTAGCTTTGATGGACATGGAAACCATCCCTTGTAGAGGAAACAGCAGCTCCGTCCCTAGTCAAAGACTTGGAAAAAATTTCAGCAAAAAGTTGTTTTCAAGGGAGAAATCCCCTGAAGCCCATAGGTACTACCACAGACCATTCCTTTTGACATCAGGAAGGCTTGACCCTTGGAGACCAAGCTGACTTTTCCTCAGGGACTGCTAAAACAGATCTGTTGCATTCAGTTTGGCTGATTTCAAAGTTCAGTCTGGAAGACGGGGTGTCAAACCAATGCTATGCAGTTTTTGGCCAGGAAACTTTGGCTGTCCTCAGGCATGTTGTAGAAAGTCCTGAAACACCACAAAGCCATGGGTGTAAAATGGTGCTGTGTTGACATTTTAGAGCAGTCTCTCTCAGAGCTCCAGGAAAGTCTCTTCCCAGGCAGTCTGAAAAGAACATGACCTCCAGAGCATTTCCAGGAAGATCCTTCTCAGAGACTGGGGTAGGGGCTAAAGAGAACATCCCCCTTGTTTTCTATAACTTATCCCAAGGCATGGGCAAGTGCTGCATATAGCATACTGGCCACACCAGGCCTGAACTTGGGTGACAAAAGAGAAGTAAAACCCCTGCTAATGGCTCCATCACCCACAGGTTTCTCTTCCATGTCTAACAAAGCAGCTAACAAGGTTTTTGAGGTACTTCTGAAGAACTACAATTGCCTGCAGGAAATCTTTTCTGCTCTGCCACGGCTGCTCTGGTGCCTCTTGTCAGAGAAAAAAAATCCATCAGAATTATCTGCACCCTTTGAAGGAGCCCAATACACCTCTGTTCCTAAAACATCTGAGGGCTGCTGCAGGGAGAGCAGCTGGGAGCATATGGTTTGCCTTTTTCAATTACAGTAGTTGACTGAATCAGCATGTTCTGGCAGCATTTGCAGGTCAGATGCCAGGCTACACTGGTGAAACTCCCTTGTCTTCTCTGCAATCTTCCCTGTCCTCTACTTCCATGGGCAGCACAAATGCCAAGATTACCTCAAATTACCTCCAACACACAGTTTGCTGGGTTTAAAAATCTGATTCATAGCTAAACCTACATGCTTAGGTATGTATGAGCATGGTTCTACAAACAATCAAGCAGAGCCATGATAAAAACCTTGGTCAAGGTGACTAAGTGAAAAAGGTTTCTCTTTTTCCTTTGGCTTTCTGCTCCCCCAAGGGCTGGGAAGTGTACAGCAGCAGTTTTTCTATGTAGCATTTTACAGTGAGGTTTCCCACAGCTGGCACTCCCATCCAAAGTACTCTGGGGATTTTACCACAGCCTTCTCCCATTTCCCTGTAAAGATTGAGTGAGAGCTCTTCCTGTGCTGAGGCATTCCTGAGGAGGCACACGGGCATGGTGAATGGAAAGCAGCACTGTTCACTGGCCCTTTCCAGTATATTGAGTCTGACCCTTCCCAGCTGTCTGGCCAGCTTAAAATCCTCCAGTGTCTCAGACTGGGGAGATGAGAGATGTAAAACCTGTTATTCCCAAACCGAGTCATTCCTCTGAGAAAGAGTGCTTAAGGCATTTAGTCCCAACAGCTCTCCCAGCAGCATCCCTTCAGATGTTCTGAGAACACAGACATTCCAGGCTCCTTTAGACACATCAGGGAGCTAGTAACTTCCTGCTGCAATTTCTTTCTTTGTGAAGAGGTACCTGCACAATGCACAGAAAATTTGGGTGTATGTGTTGAGGGAGTGTCCATGTGTCTGTGTGAGTTATGAATGTGTGTGTGTGCTTTTCTGTTCAGATATCTCCAGCTAATTTAGTATTTAATTGAATTATAAACTTGGCTTCAAAGAGCATCCCTGAATATGCCAAGATGGCTTTGTCACACTGCCATCTCATGACACATGGCAGGAATAAGACTTTGGCTGTAGCATATGGAACCTGAAGCCTAGAAAATCATCTGGAATTCTCTGGATATTTTTGTAATAACTAACTACTGTTATAATTAACTAATTCTTGGTGAGGCCTTCCAAGGTTTATGACAGCCTTTGCTTCTTGGATGACTTCACATTCCCACATGGTTGCAGCTGGTCTTTGGACAGATAGACTTGGGTGAATAGTCTCAACTTTCATGTTATGTCTAATCCAGTCTAACCATGACACTGTGTAGCCTGGTAGTCCACAACAGAAGAAGCGCAGGGACAGAGGTAGAAGGGAATGAGACCAGCCCTGACTGAACTGCCTGCTGCTAGGCTGAAGAAGGCATAGTGTGAAATTGTGCTCCAACTCATGCATCTTTGTGGCTTCCATAGCATGGTCGGCCTTGTAAAATCTAACTCTGAACTGGTGCTGTTTCTTGCAGGAGTCTGGCAGTTCTATATGCCCATCTCAATCATGAAACTGCCACTGCATTCATAATGTCTCTGCAACATACTAAAGGTATCAGACATCCGTATCTCACATGAGGATTCTTATCAGCAACACAGTATTAATCTTAGTTCTGCTTTGCTTATGGATGGCTTGTTTACAAATCTCTGCTTATGATGATGTTGCAGCTTTTACCCATGATCTGGTGGGCTTTGTGGTCCCCAAGATGTGGAGGTGTGTTATTTTATGTTCCAGTCTGTTTCGGTTGTACGGGTAAGTTTTCTCTGTTTTTGTTCAAATTTATACTTAGTATGTTCTATGTACCCCCCTCCCCTCTTCCCAGTTGGTGCTGCCCATCCCTTCCTGCCTTTCCACCCATGTCCGTCACCTAGCCACTCCCAATCACCCCATCAAACCACTCCCTTATCCCCTCCCAGGAGCCCTGCCAGTCATCCGGCGCCCCACCCCAACATCCAGAACTTTCCATCCAGGGCGTCGGGTGATTGGGTGAAGGCCCAGGGCCCCTCCCATACTACTTCCCTGTTGGCCCCCTTTCCAAGACCCCTCCCCAGGGAGCCACCCACAACTCTCACCCATTGGTCCAAGTTTTCCCCACCCCCTGCCCTATATGATCCCTTGTTAGCTCGTTCCGAGTTGCCTTCTTCAGTCGGCATCACGTTGTGTGTTTGGATTCTCGTACATCTTCCCCTCACCCTGAGGGTGAATAAAAGGATCTGTTGCCTCCGGAGAAGGACACTTCTGTCATCTCTGTCCGCGTGTGGTTTTTGCCTGCCTTTCGCCCAGGCACCAAGGCCCCATCCCGAGCTTTCCGAAGCCCCCAACATTGGCCCAGAGGAGGGCTCGGGGAACCTGCTCGCTCCCTCCGGAGCTAGAGCCAGCCAGGATTCAACACCTTCCAGGAGGGAGCGCGGCAGAGGTGGCGCCCAATGTGGGGCATCTTCATAGTGTAGGGGAAATTGAAAGAAACAATTCTTGATGTGGATAACTGCCAAATTCCAATTTTGGGGTAACATCGTGGAGGACAGCATTCCTGGTTGTAGAGACACCATAGGTTCTATAATGTTGTTAATTGCACGGAGGACGTGGAGGAGCCACCACTCTGTCTTGCCCCGGTTTCTTTACGATGAAGACCGGGGAATTCCAGGGAGATGTTGTTTCCTGGATGTTTCCCTTGGCCAACTGCTCATCCACGAGATCCTGGAGCGCTTTTAATTTTTGTTTTTTTAGCAGCCACTGCTCTATCCAAACTGGAACATCTGAGAGCCAATTAAGTTTCTTGGTAGGACGCTCCTCAGTGACCGCTGCCCGAAAAACCTGGGGAGTCGGTATCTCTAATTTTGCTCCCCATTGGGCCATCAGGTCTCTGCCGCACAGAGGTTCCATGTAATCAAGTACGAA